TGCATTATGAGGCCCTTTTCCTTTTTCTTTTCTTCCCCAAACTGTCTTCTCACTCACTTTTGCTGATTCACTCTCTTCTTCCCTCTCAAACTCTCACTTCTCCTCTTTTGCTTGGATTCAAGGTGCTGAGTAGGTATTGATTTTATTGTCGAGCCGTGTGGATTTGAGCTGTTTTCCCTTCTTCTCCGTCACTCTTCTCCTCCGTTCGTCATTCGTCTCTTCCCGGAAACTCATATTTCTTGTGCCGAGGTAAGGGAAGCTAGTTTTTGGCTGTGTTTTGTTGGAAATGAGTTCATAAACTCATTTGTGGGTTGATGGTTTGATGATTTCGGGCTGAGATTGAAGAAATTCATTTTCGGGTTTTTTCGGGGTTTTGGGAGAAATTTGGGTTTTCTTTGATTTGTGGTTGCATGTGTAAAAAGATGGTGTTTTTGAACTCTTTGATGAAAATGTGATGTTTTGGGCCGATTGCATGTGGATTTTCCTGGTTGTTTTGCAGATTTTTTAAGAGATTTTCGAACTTGGTGAGTTGCTGCTGAGTATCACGCCAGGCGTCGTTCTTCGCGCCGGGCGCGTGACCATCAGAGGGCTCTATTTTGGCAAGCCGCCGAGCGCAAGGATGTGTGCGCTGGGAGAGCTTGAGAATGTGAGCCTCTAGATGACCTACGCCGGGCGTGGTGGGACAGCGCTGGGCGCGATATCAGTGAGTGACATATGTTTTGGGGTTCTGGTTTGGTGTCGGGCGAGACTTTGTCACGCCGGGCGTAGAGACTCCTTGGGAGTCTCTGCCAGAGGTGGCGCCGGGTGTGAGACCCTGGGGAGGTCTCTGCTTTCTTGCGCTGAGCGCGAGATGAGCACGCCGGGCTTACGAGACCTTGTGAGGTCTCTGCCTCCCATCACGCCGGGCGCAATGGGAATTGTGCCAGGCGCACTGGTTCCCTGATACTCTCTGGTTGTGCCACGCCGGGCGCAACCATGAGTGCGTCGGGGGCGTATATGCTGTTTCCTTAGATGTTATTTTATGTTGAGCCGAGCTGCTATCGATGACTATTACTATGTTGTTGGATGATAAGGTTGGATTATAAAATTGCTGTGCTGTGAGCGATCTATGTTGTGCTGTAAGTTGTTTAGCTGTGCTGTAAGCCGATAATGCTGTGCTGTAAGCTGTTTAGCCGTGCTGTAAGTTGATATTGTTGTAAGCTGTTTTGTGCTGTATGCTGATATAAATTGTTGTAGGCCGTAAGGCTGAGCTGTTGTAGGCCGTAAGGCTGAGCTGTTGTAGGCCGTAAGGCTGAGCTGTTGTAGGAGATCTCCGAGTTGATATGCGTGACGACGCATTGTATGTTTTTTTGTTGTTTATGCTGTATAGCTGATGAGTTGTATGCTGATGATGTGCTGATAGCTGTAGCTGTTTATCATTCATGTATGATATATATAAGTGTATGCTGAATTCTTTTCACTAGCTTACCCTTTGTTGTTTCCATGTGTTTGGACTGCGATGATCATACGTTGTATGGGAGCAGAGCAGGGTTAGGTTGGTGAGTTGAGACAGGTCTGCAGCTGGTAGATGGAGTTTTATTTTGTTGTCGTTCTGATGTTTTAGCCACTAGTTTGGCTACTTTGAGCTGTATTTGTGTACTTTGTTGTAGACACAGATTTGGACTTTGTGTATATATATTCTAGATGTCTATATATATATACTTGTTCTTTTTGTGTGGTGTTGTTTTGTTGTGCAGTGTGTAGTGACCAGCCGGGTCGTTACATGCATCACTAAGTCACTTATGGGATTAGTCCAACACTTACCCTCAAAGTACTATGCATTTTTAATACTAAGTTAGAGATTAAATCTCCAAATCGATACCTTACCCAATTGATCACCTTATACATGTGTGTTTCGACCTTGTCCATATAGGATGTCACATAAAACTTGGAGGGGACAATTGAAAACAACTTACCAATTTAAAGACCAATTTACCTACTAAAAGGTTTTCAATCAGGCTTTCAAAGCACCACCACTTATATATACACAATGAGATATTCAGCTTTTAAAAACTTTACTCCCTTGTAGTTTCTATGTATCGTAGCTAGGATATGTATCTAACCCATATACCTATATCTTATAAACTTAATAGCTTGAACAACTTAAACATTACACAGCCTTACAACATGAGCAATTTTAATGGAACAACAACTATTTAATTTAAGCAACTTAAACATCTCACAACTTTACAACATGTTAACTTGGTACATAACCCACATATATCATCTTATGACATCACTCACAACTATTTTAGCATAAATCAATTGTAAAACAACTTATAACAAGTTTTCATCATACAATTCGTGTCTGGTGCAATTCACTGAACCCTCAACGCCATTGAGATAAAAAGTTCTCTATCTTGCCCACATCTAGGGAGATTAAGACAAAGAGCATCTCACACTCTCGCATCCGGTGTGGCAACACCCACACCCAACCTCATTTTAGGCAAATGACTATTTGCCTGACTCACGTCTAGTGCAATACACATTAGCACCCGATGTGAATCTAGATAGAGACGAGTTTTTTTTTTCATATTCGACATCATTCAACCCATGCCCAACATGATTCTAACTCGATACGATATTCTATTTTCACATTCATCATGTGTTCAATGTGAGTACGATAGAGACATTTCTTCAAAGTAATAATACTTGGTACCATGAAGGCATGTCAGACGTGATGTAATTTAGTTATTTTTTCAAATCTAATTTACAAATAATTTTAGATTATACATATATTATATTAAATTCAAATAAACCTAATTAAATAATAAAAAATATTGTAATATGATTAATTTCGAATAAGATAAATATATCAAATCGACAATGATCATATATACTTATATTTTAATTATTTTTCCTTTCTAAAATTATCGACAGAATTTCAACAATATATTTTTAAAATTAAAAATATTCTAACACATCAAATAAACATTTCAAAATTACACCAATATTTTAATCATGACAGTGACGTCAATAAATACATTATTGTTTTCTAAACTTTGATAATGACTTGCTTAATTATCATAAAATTTTAAATATAATTTATTTATTCTTTAATTAAACTACACTCGTAACATCGCAGTTTTTATATTTACATTATCATTCAATTAAGTACTAACATGCATGCCAAGTTTTAATTTCTATAATAAATAATTTAAAAATCAGAATTAAAATAAGATTAAAATATTTTTTTTACTTTAATTTCATTTATATTACCATTTAATATCTATAACTTAAAATAAATATATTTAATCTTTTATATTTATCTCTATTCAATCTTTTATAGTCCTTATAATTTAAAAATAAATATTTTTAGTTCTTATATTTATAGTTTTTAATCTTTTAGTCCTCACTGTTATTTTTTTTAACAATATCTCCATTATATTAACTAGCCGAGGCATTTCGTGTCTCTAATAGTTACACACAAACAAATATTAAAAATTATATATAATTATTTAGAAGAAATATACGAATTATTTATTTATTTATTTATTTTTAATTTTCTGTTTTTATATTTTAAGGGGTATAATGGTCCACTAAAAAGTGGAGACCAAAGGGGTGGTTACCAAAATACACCCTTTATAATATGTATAGATGTATAGATTTGACATAGATATTAATTCATTTTGTGTGTTTATGTCAATTTTTTTTGTTAAAATTACTCTAAATCATGTATTTAGATACTTCATATTTTTTATACTCTCACCTACGACATTTATTGAAATACCAATTTGTGTTAGCCTTATAAAAGTGAGAACCTCTATCTCTTTGGTTTAAAATAGACAATGTTAAAAAAATGAATTAAAGAGATTAAAGATCTATAAATATAATGATTAAAATTATTTATCTTAAATTATATGAACTAAAAATGAGAAAAAAGGTAAGTACAAGATTAAAAAAATATATTTTAAACTATGTGAGAACTAAAAGATAAAGGATGTGAAACTAGAAGAATTGAAAAAAAATATTTAAGATTAAAATAATTATCATTTTAATTAGTTTATATTTTATATTAAAACTATCCTCTATTCTTATCTTAACTATCACAATAAAACACTTTATGTTTTTTTTTATATATTTTATTAAAAATAAAAATAAAAGATGAAAATAATTAAAATTATAATTAAAATTGAATATGAATAAACCATATCTCTGTATATTTTATGGACCACTAGTTGTTGGGTGAGGAGGGGGTTGGGGTAGTTAGAAACATGAGGATAAAAAAAAATCTGTATATTTTATTTAATAAAAGTAAAAGATAAAAAAAAATTATAATTGAAATTGAATATGACATTAATCATTAAAGGATCTTAACTATTTTGGGCAGTTAAAGAGATAAAACAGTTATTTATAATAATTTAAAAATAGAAAAATAAAATATAAAAAAAGGATAAATTTATTCACGCAAAAGTGGACATTAAAATCAGTTATCAAAAGAGGCATGGTCATGGTCTTGTATAGATTAAAATAAAATTATTTTTGGCTGATGACACCTCCTTTTTTCTATAAGTACATTTCTTTTATATATTTTTTTAATTATAATATATTATAGTTTTTTTTATATAAATTTTATAATTTTACACTTTTAAATTTTAATTTGTTACTTTTTTCTTTTTTTCACACACTTTATTTTTTTCTTTTAATTTTCATATGCTATCAAAATAGATAGGGTGAAAGAAAGGTAAGGGGATATATGTAAAAATTGAAAAAATGAGAAAAGATGTATGAAATTTTTTTACTAAATTAAATATTGTGAATGTAAAATTAAAAAATTAAAAAATTAAAAATTAAAAAATTAAAAATATTTTAAAATTTTAATTATTTTTTTAAAAAAGAGGTGTACTTATAGAAAAAAGGAGGTACATATATCATGAACCATTACTTTTTCTTAAGGGCCCATGACGAGGAATTGATTGAATCCCGTGCGGCCCATTTACTGGATTCATCCTATATTTATCTCCACTGCGCCCCTTAAGTGCAGTATTCTTTATGACATTTTTTACAATTGATTCTCAGAAACCCTAATTCCTTCGTTCATTCAATACTCATTCCCCTGGAAAAATCAAAGATACTCTCAGGCGCAGCGATTAATTCAAAGGTTGTTAGCGATCTGACATCGCTTATTGTCGATAAAGGTCAGTAATCATCTTCTTCTTTTCATTAGAGTTGTTTCGGTATGTCATATTTTGCAATTTATATGTTGCTGCATCGAATTGCGATAATCGTATTTGTGAAATTGATCTTGTTGCCTCTATTTCCAGATCCCTTGCTCTATTTTATGTTGTCTGCTTTTTTGTACCATAGCTATTTTCAGTTTCTAATTACTTTCAACTAATCTCGTTGCCAATTTTCATTGGGGATTTGGGGGGGTTTTTTAATTGCAAACTTAATAATAAACTTTTTTTAATTCATTTGATTAACACACCTTGACTGATAAGTGATTAGCGGCCATTGCTTTTTCATCGATGACAAATATTGTTGAATATTTTCTTTGAGTTGAACACGAAAATAATCTCTAATCCGTTAATATTCATTTATGAATGTCGCAGGCTCGTGTCTGAATTAAAGTAGTCGTCACCATGAGATTGAGAAAGGGAAATAAAGTGGAGATCCGTGGCAATACTGAACAGCTTAGTGTGGAATGGCGTAGTGCTCGAATAATTTCTGGTAATGGGCACAGCTACAGTGTCCAGTATGACCGTTCTAGCACAACAAGCGAGGCTAGCATAGAGAGAGTTTCAAGGAAGGCCATCAGACCATGCCCCCCTCTTATTAAAGGTATTGAGAGTTGGGCAGCTAATGATCATGTGGAAGTTTGTGATGCTGGTTCTTGGAAAGCGGCTACTGTTTTGAAAGTCATTGGTGGAGGCTTATACTTGGTAAAGCTGTGGGTAACTTGCAACGAGTTAAAGGTTCACAAAGTAAACATGAGGGCACGCCAATCTTGGCTAAATGGTCAATGGATTGTCATGCCAAAGGTAAACATCTATTTGCTCAATATAAATAGTACAACATTGCTTGTGATTTCAGTTTTAGTATTCTTAAAGTTTGGGCCATTTGCATCGTGGTAGAATTTCTTATCAATTTGTATATTTTTACCCTTTAATTTCGCATTGATATTGGTTGATAATTGAGTCACTTATTTTCCATGATTGATCTGAATTTTGTTTCCAACTTGCCATGCCTTGTCCTTAAGTTTGCTCATGTTTGTTCCAGGGATCAGACATGTTTGGAGTTGGGAAGTCTAGCAAGTATTTGAATTCAAAGAGTTACAAGGATCAACCTGAAAATCAGCGAACCAGAAATATTTTTTCTCCAGTATTAGATGTCAGTGGTCATCAGGAGCCTCATCTGTCCTCATCTTCAACATTGAAGAGATTGTCCCCTTATGGCTCCTCTCTTATTGAGGCTTATCCCAGAAAAGTAAGGGCTGTTGAAAATATGGGTGAGTGTGGAAGATTCAAAGCTGTAACCACAGCCTCCTTCCTGCAAAAGGTAGATGCTGTTGCTTACCCGCAAAATATTATGGGTGAAAAATGCATGCATACATCCTTTACTAATGGTACCAACCAATATTATGAAACAGGAAAGGAGAATCCTTATATTGTTTCAACACATTTTCTTGAAAGAATTGAAGAACCTGATTATTCTTGTAGTGATAGTTCAGTTGGCAGTTGTAGTGTGAAAAGTAGTAATTCAAATAAATTTTCCAGTGATACCTTATCAGGTCCTTGCCAAGATGAAGATATCTTTTGCAGTGATGCAGAATCTCTAGATGTTGGAGATGTGGATAAAGGATGCTCCATTTCTCCCGAAGAGGTTGTAGCAGATAGAATTCATAGGTTAGAGTTGCATGCCTATCACAGTACCCTAGAAGTTATGTATGCTTCTGGTCCTCTAAGTTGGGAACAAGAAGAATTATTGACTAACCTTCGTATTTCACTCAATATTTCAAATGATGAACATTTGATGGAGATAAAGAACTTAGTTTCAGGTGGTCAGCATTTTTAAATGTTTACATATGAATACCATGTTTGTACAGCCTTATTAGGTTCTGAACAAGAGTACATATTTTGAATAATTCTTTGTTCTTAATATTTCTAGATTAGGGAAATTATGTTGCTATACTCATTATGAATATATCAAGTTATGATGCTCTTTTGTTAAAGCAAAAGTTATGATGCTCTTTATTTTTTTGCCCCATTTTCTCCCTCTCTCTCTCCCTCTCTTTATTTGATGTCCTAATTGTAGTTTTCAATGTTATAAGTTCTTAGCTTTTACACCTGCATTGATTTGCAGATATGGGAGACTTGTCTGATTGATTCTTTAACTCCCTTCTAATGGCAAGTAATGATTAACAACTATCTGGTTTTACTTGGACAGCTTGATTATACTATTTAACTCGATCTGAAATCTTGCTTAATTTTGATAAAATTTATTAACTGCATTCTATTAACTCAACTTTTTCACCATTTGATTATTATTGACAAATCAACTACATTTTCCAGGGCCAGTGTAGGAGGCTTGCATGCCTTGCTTTCAATGGCTAAATATGAAGCTTGGTTTGCTTCTTCTCTCTGCAAATTAATTGGTGGCGTCTACCAATAATTTTCTTACAGAGATAAGAAATTTCTGACCATTGTTTTCTCACTGTCATGTCATGCCAGAACATCAATTTTTCTAAAAGCTGTTGATGTAATCCTCATATGGAAGATCTTCTTATGATACAATTCTTCAGATAATAAGCATTTATTTGCATGCCATGTGATGTGGATCATATTTAGTGTGACTTGAATACTTTATCCTGTCAATTGAAAAATAAAATTTAATGCTAGGATGTTTCAGTATGTGTTATATCAGTGTAGTTAATGGCACTGGTTATCTGTCACATGGCCTCCTCATGATGCATCAGCAGATGTGGTGTGTTGACATGGCAGCAAATCGCAGCTACAATAGTGATGTTGCAGCTGTTACTACGTACGGGTAAAAATCTCAAATTGCCTCCACTTTTGCATCATCAATCAAGTTGTTTTAAGGTCTTTTGCTCAATATCACCGTGCCCCTTTCCACTCCCCCTCTGTTAAATCTTCTCTCCACTCCCCTATTCCTGCCCATCACTATATGCCAACTGTTCTGCTACTGTTATGTTTTTGCAGGTCTGAGTTTATTCTTGTGTGTGATGGGTTGTGCAATTTGCACCTCACAATCCTCTGTTTCCACAGGTCCATGGCATCCTCTGTTCTGCTTTTTGAAAGAACACCTCTGTTCATTTCAGTTTTTCTTTTCTTTTTGCGTATTTTGCACTTCAGTCTTATGTTAATTGCCTTGTTAATTATGCGTTCAATATGTGGCAAACATCTATCTAGACTACGCCACTGATTCACTATTACTTTTGATTATAAAAGGACACATTTAATATTTGGTTCCCCTCAAGTATGCACTATAAATTAATTATTTTGAATCTACATAATTTTTTGGTATGCCAGTCATCACATTATCCGGTGTCTTGTTATAGTTTTTTTTGATCTGGTCACTTGGAGCTACTGGTTGTTCTTCACTTTGTTAGACACAGCTTTAGATTTTCCATTAGTTCATCAACAATATATTTAGCTCCCTTTTTGTTGGTCTGCATCGTTAAATGACCTGCCTGCTTTTGAAACCTGCTCTCTTGAAACATGTGAATTGGCATACAGGACATGGATTAATGATGCTTTTAGCATGTTTTGGTGAAAATTACTTCATGGGAGACGGTCATTTTTTGCTGAAACTTGTACGTATCCAAGAATTTGTAAAGAAACATAGGCATATAAGTATGCACATGTATTTTACTCAATCAGCTTCGTTCCTCTTTTCTTTCTTGAGCCGTTTCTGTACATGCAGCTGTCTTTTCATAAGCTCAAAATGTTGGACATTTTTCCTTAGCTACTCCATTATCAAACATATAATGGCTCTGCGCCTCTCTTAATTTGAATTCTTAGTTTCTTACATGACATGATAGTGTGTACTTTTAATTAATTTTTATCAAGAAAAATGTTGGAACTTCCTTAGAACAGCATTTTTACCTGTTATCATTGAGGCTAAGTTTATGTTTTTTTGTCTCTATTGTTTTCATCTCCAATTATGTTATTTATATGGTTTACAGTAAAAAGTTTCAAATGCATTTTTTTCTCTCATTCATTTAAGGCCATTTTGGTTGTGTATAGTTTCGGCTGTGGATACTTTGAGTCTCATTTTATTGCAATTATTCCGGAGCTCATTGATCTTTTAACTTGCATATCAAAAGGCTTGGGGAGAGGAAGTACACGAGAAGATGATGCGAAGAGGTCTCACGTGTTTTCCGTATATGAAATTTTTCTCATCAAGTTGCATCGCAAAAATTAATTTTAGTCCATGTAATCTATGTACTCTATTCGACTATTCGTTTAAATTATGTACGTTGCCACCGAATATCAATTTAAAGTTTCTTGGTAGTTGTTTAATCCACATTTTAGCGACAATTCTATTCTGTAATTGTGTTGTGGATAAAGAAAAACGTACTCTTTACTCTTTATTTTCAGTAATGAACTTTTGTACTATCCTAAGCTGGTATTTTTTTGCCTCAAATATGGTTTGTACCGCTTTTCAAAGTTAACAATTTTCAAAGTTAACAATTTTCAAAGTTAATAATTAAAGATTAATTTATGTTTGTAGAATGTGATTTTTCTTAGTTAAGAATTATGTTGGCTTAAGCTATCCTAATATGATATTTGGGGCTTTTACCAATTAACTAAGAAATTAAACGTAAGATTGACCTTGACCCTTTTTATTTGATATAGTCTTTCTATCTATAAGGTAGCTGTCAATTTGGTCGTAAGTCAATGCACTAAATCACCCCACCTAGGGTTGTTTATGGAGCATTTTGGTTTGAATTAGGGGTAGAATGAGGTTTTAATTAGTTTGGATTAGATTTATCAATTCTTTAGCATTTAGAACTAAACCAATTTAATTAACTGTTGGTTTGGTTTGCATTGATTGGATTCCCTAAAAAAAGTTTCAAATTTCTAATTGTTAAACATAAAAATACATGATTTTGTTTTAAAACTTAAATATTAATTTTATTGCAAGAATGAAAAATAACATTTATATGTAAATAAAAGTATAATATTACTTATAGTCTTAATTATAAATATTAAATTGAATTTTTAATATTAATTATAAGTAGTAATTATTAGTTTTTAAAATTACTTAAATTTAAATTTATTTAATATCTTTCATTTATTGTTAATTATATTTTTTATATATTCACTTATAACTAATATTAAATGTGATAATCATTTAATTTAAAGATATATTCGAAATAAAATTTGAAACTATGGCAAAATTAATTAATAGTAGTCATATTAATTAATTTTCTTGGTCTTGATAATCTATTTTATATTACTTATAATTAAGATTGAAAGTAATAGTTTTTTTAGTATGTGTATTGTATGAGTTAGATATTTATTATATATAATTGAAATTATTAGTTGTATGTAAAAGTAAAAATTATATTTAAAATTTGTAGAAATAGATATTTTTAAACATGTAAAATATATTTTAAATTTATGATAAATAATTTGTATTGTATTATAAAGTTATTTTTAATTATTTTATGCAATACACAAACTAATTATTATTATATAACTAAAATTTATATTAAATTAAATATGAATAAATACTATAATTGAATTTAAATTTGATGTAAGTTAAATTTTAGATTTATCATAAATATTAGTATTTTAATAAATATTAGTATTTTAATACGTGTAATTCACAAGTTAAACATGTTTATTATATATAACTAAAATTTACATATGTAAATAAATATTATATTTAAATGTGTATATATATATATATGTATATTGTATTTAAAATTTATATAAATAAATATTTTTAAAATATAAATTACTAGTATTTTAGTGTGTGTAATACACAAGTTAAATATTTATTATATATAATCAAAATTTAAATTAAATTATGTATATAAATAAATATTATGTTTAAATATATAAATTATTTAAAATTTAAGTAAATATATAAATTTAAATACATAAATTATATTTTAGGTG